GCCAGCGTAACTCAGCCGCACTGAGCAGAAATTGGAGGGCCTGTCGCAGCACCTGACTGGCCAGACTGCATTAGCCCCCGCTAATCCCCCAGAGCCTCCTGCCAGGTCACTTCTGGTCTCAGACATGGAGCAGAACCTTCTTCGGCACTCCACGGGCAACTGGGAGAGGGGGATTCCAGAACGCTGCTGACGCCGGAGGGGTTGTCTCCTTGGTGCTTGCTGCAGCCGCGGGCTGTGGAAGAACACCTGCGAATGTAGGTGTTTAACCACCCACCTTACAAGGATGTTTGAAAAAGAACCCGTTAAGAAGGGAGGTCTGAATCGGACTGCGGAGCCATCTGGTGTTGCAGCTGACCTGAAAATGAATCCAGTAAATTTCAGACCTGAGTTACAGCTGGTGCAGGGAGATCTAAGAGACAGGTGGTTCCCTTAACAGCTGTACATCCAGAGAGGGGAGGCAAGAAAGAAAATCCCAACTTCGCTGAACCGTCATGGGTTTTCTGGGATCTGTAGTAGCTTCCTGACCTTTTGCCATGATAATGACTACATCAAGGCAAATAGTATTTCTCCCTTCCTTTTGTTGAAATAATCCCTGCAGGTCAATGAATCTAAGATTTTAAGTGAGTGTATCAAGTGATGGATGGATGAAAAAGACTCGTTATTAGCTGGGAGGGTACTCTCAGAAATAAGAGTCTTATATTGGTGGTGTACAGACTAATATCTCTTTGGGGGGAAAACCACAAATTACCATATCTAAGGTGGCTACTTGAATTTGTACTTCTGTATTTATCCTGCAAATTTTAAGAGAACTTTAATCAAACACTGTTTTTATTAGGTGAATTAGTATGCATGCTGAAATGAAGTGTAAGTTATTTTTAGCTCAAGAAAAGTAAAGAATAATTTTGACTTTTTAAAAACTTGTTCTAAACAAAACACTTTGGCCGTATATCCATGTTGTTTTGAGAAGGATTTTAGGCAGCCCTGGTTTTTATTCTCGGATTAAGAGGTAATGAAACTAAAGCAACTAAGGTATAGAGGAAGTAAGCTATTTCTGTCTAAGTCACTCAGGAACCAAATATATGAAACCGAAAGTGGAGTCTTGAGGTGATATTCCCAATCCTGTTGTCTTCCCCAAAACCCCCGTGTTTGTGCAAGTAGTTCAGTGCATGAGGGTAAACAGCTGAGGCTACAAGCAGAGGCAGAAATTCAGCCCAGCCCCTGCTCGCCACGCCTGGGGTCATGGGGAGGAGCTGTGCCCACGTTTTCCAAAGGTGCTAAGTCTGATTCCCAAGCACAGCACCGAGGGGCTGAGCTATTGGTTTGGGGGTCGGGAAGCAGATCACCAGTATCAACCAGGATGTTCTCCTGTGTATTATTACAACTACAACTAGACCTTAGCTTGGCATAATCTCTAAAAAACCTTTGTTTCAATGGGTAAAGGAGGCGAGAGCTACGCAGTTTGAAGAGGGTCTGTCGAGGTAACCCTGATTGCACAAGCTAAGAGGACACTGGATGCACCTGGGAAGAGTTTGAGATTTGGGGTATCTTCCCATCTGCCCTTTTGGACATGAGACTCATCTCCTCATTCCTTTCCTCTCTGCCTCCCTATCTCACACTGCTCACTTGTCCTTTCTCTAAACACACACACACACACATACACACACGCACGCACCACCTTCTATTCACTACAGACTTTGTTCAAGAGGAAAGTGCTTTAGCCAAATTGACACGAAGATGTAAATAGCTAAGAACAATTAGATGTTTCCATCCCCATGGGGAGCATTTTAATACTTAAATTGAAACAAACTGTACCTTCCTAGCGGATTTCAGGCAGTGAGAAGTAGTAGGGATTTTGTTCAGACGTTGAAGGCAGGAGCACTTCTTTTATTCCCAAGACCGTTGCAGCTTGGTCGGAGCTCTTCCGGTTGGACCCACACACGGGGTTTACTCAGGAGCATCATCTTTGCTCCTTGCGCTTTTATCTTACCATTGTCTTTAGTTCGCCATTTTCGGTGCCCCTGCCCGCCCTTCCACCATCCCTGTATGCTGGTCTGCACTTCCTTCTCAGCTCTGAGCCTGGCCACCCTGGCTTTCTTGTTCATCTTCTGAATTGCTTTCTCTCCAGGCAAGCACATGCCTTATGACTTCCACTCCACTGTTAAGTCTTCTTTCTTCTAAATAACCCCGTCCCAAAATCTGTCTGCATGAGGGTATCAGACTCTGCCCCTATCCAGAAGCTCTGGTTATCGTGGTTGAAGTTTCGAGCTTCCCCATTGCTCCCTTCTCCAGCAGCCAACACCATAAGCCCAGGAGAGGGAGAGAAGAAGTTCCTGAGCTTCTGTGAGGGGCTTTCAGAAGGCAGAGGTTACGATGTCTCTCTCTGCTTTTCTTACTAGGCCAAGCCCAGTGAAGCATAGTTGGTATTTCTGTCTTCCTCTTCTTCTTCTTAGAGTGATTGCAGTGGGTTGCTGGAAGCAGGGACTTGACTTCCCTGTTTAAACTTCTTCCTAGATCCGAAGCAATTCCTATAGCTGGTCTTGGGCTCACATCATGCCACTAAAGCCAGAGTCACTCATTAAATTGAACAGTTCAGTAAAAAAAAAAAAAAAAAACTACAATCAGGTCAAATGAACTCTGGTCACAGGAGTCAAAATAGCTAAAGTGAAAAACTCATCTAAAAAAATGGTCAGTCTGGCACCTGGGTGGCTCAGTCGGTTAAGTGTCCGACTCCTGATATCGGCTCAGGTCATGATCCCAGGGTCCTGAGATTGAGCCCCATGTCAGGCTCCACACTGAGCTTGGGCCCTGCCTAAGATTCTCTCTCTCTCCCTCTCCATCTGCCCCCCCAGTTCAGTCTCTCTCTCTCAAAAATAAATAAATAATAATAAAAATGGTCAGTCCACTATCTATGATTCTTTCAAGAAACTTAATGATTTTCAATTTCTTCCATCATGTAATTGAACTCCTACATTTTAGAAGTTTCTAATCCTTGGATGACTGTAGTTTGAGTGCCAAGAAGCAAAGATTGTATTGTGCTTTGTCCAGAAGGTGAAGGTTTTGTGTATTTTGTATATTTAATCTTGGTAGACTAAAACAAAATCGAATATATGACAAGTTTCCAAATTTCTTATCTAAATGAGGAGGAAGCACCGTAGATGTATTTAGAAATGCTGAATGAATGGAATTGAACTTTATTTTCTCCCACTCTTTAAAGATTTTATTTATTTGTTTAGAAAGAGAATGAGTGAGTGCACGTGCATGAATGGGAGAGGGGCAAAGGGGGAGGGGGAGAATCTCCAGCAGACTCCGAGCTGAGTGCAGAGCCCGACACAGGGCTCAATACCATGACCCCGAGATCATGACCTGAGTCAAAATCAAGAGTCAGACGTTCAACTGACTGAGCCACCCAGGCGCCCCTCTGTACTCTTTTGAATGAGTTTTTGTTTTGAAAAACCGGAATGCCTGAGCCAACCTTTGATGGCTTGCAATGCCAACTCCCTGTTGTCAACTCTGCCATTTTTTTTTTTTTTTTACTGTCCTTGGTCTTATTTACTTTATTCCCCTAAATAGAACTAAGGTTGATGCCAGAGTTCTGTGCATTTCTGTCATGGTACTTGGTGTATATACTCTGTTTGGTGTGAGTACCTCTCAAAGCCCTCCCCAACTCTCTGGCTCCATGCTTTAGGACCCTCTAGTACACTCAGGGTCAAATATTTACAGTCTTCATGAGTGCATCCCCCCCTTTTCTGCCTCAGCACAACTTACAAAGACAGCTCAGAGGCATTATCTTCTTTCTTTAAAATTTTAAACATTTTTTCCACCCCCTTTTCCCAAGCCTGGCTGTGCTAAGAACCTATATGCTGATGAACAGATCATTAACTGGTATCACTATCTAATTTAAACAGCTGCGTTAACGAGTATCTTTGGCTACAAACTGAAGAAGGGGTCAGCCATCCTTCAGAATGCAGAAGTAATGGTACAAGGCTTCAGCACCATTTTCTTTGGTGGAGGAAGTTGGTTGGGAAGAGGGGCTTGGGTGGCCTCTCCCGGGGGGTATTCAGCCCGGACTCCCAGACTCCCATCTGCTCTTGGAAATAAGGAATCCAAAAGTTGCTGGTTGATGTGCCGTAGCCATATCTAATAAGACGTGGGACAGTGTGTGCAAACATGGGTACGGGCGTGTGCCCACCCATACCGTAACTGAATTTCCAAACTGGTTAAAATAGCCCTGCGTGTTGGCCAACAAATACTGAGTATCTCATATATGGAACTTTGTGATATACACAATGGTGAAGATAAAAAAGAAGAAAGCAGTATCCCAGATTTTCAGAACCTTATAATCCAGTGGTCTAAACCATTGAGTCTAGAGAGTGTTTTAAAAATGTGACGTTCTAGGGCGCCTGGGTGGCTCAGATGGTTAAGCGTCTGCCTTCGGCTCAGGTCATGATCTCAGGGTCCTGGGATCGCGTCCTGCATCGGGTTCCCTGCTCAGTGCAGAGCCTGCTTCTCCCTCTCCCTCTGCCACTCCCTCTGCTTGTGCTCTTCTGTCTAACTCTCTGTCAAATAAATAAATAAAATCTTTAAAAAAAATAAAATAAAAAAATAAAAATAAAAATGTGACGTTCTAGAATATTCTTTAAGGAAATTGTAATTACTGTAAGTTCCTGCCATTGTCACTGTGATTAAACACTTCTCTGTATGTAGCTACACAAGCCCCGTTAACATGTCACCCACCACTTCCCCCCTCATTCCTGAAGAGCTGTGTTCCAGGTAGTTGGTGCACAGAGTTATGAATCGATCTCCAACGTGGGTAAAGCTAATAAATATGGTTTGGGTGAAAGGCACTGGTAAAAGCTTGAGATGTTATTACTGTTCTCATGCACTTTATTATTTTTACATTGTGCATCCTTTTAAGTAGATTATTTGTTCGCCATAGTCTCCATTATATCTAAGCAAAGCATTCACAGAAATTTCTAAAACCTTTTCATTTCTCTCTGTAGGTTGTTGTTTCGTAACATTTTATACAAGAAAAGCTGCACTTGAGGCCCAGAATGCACTGCACAATATTAAAACTTTACCTGGGGTGAGTCGGTTTACTTTTGTACCAAAATCACTTTATTGCTTGAAAATGGTCCTTTCAACTGAAGGTTCTAGTTATGGGCTCTTAGTGGCAAAAATGACTTTGGTCTTTTGAGGAGTGTGTGCTGACCCCTCTCTTCCCCTCAGCAGCCAAACCAGCTGGCCGGCCCATAAAGAAGGACTGGCATTAATGCTGATGGAAAGAGCTCTCAAATAGTATGTCCCCTCGTTAGAAAATCAGAGTGACCCCACTGGGTAGCAGCGGCTGCCAAAGAGTATTGGGTGGGCTAAGATTTTAAAAGGGGGGAAAAAAAATCCAACACACACGAGAAAAGCAGATGGAAAAGGAAAAGCTTTTACTCACCAGGAGCCCCTTTTGAAATTTAGTCTTAGATTTTCTTTTGAAAGGACAAAATGTACCCTGTACAGCCATAATATTAAACCTCCTAATGGTTTCTCAACAGTCAACGATGGTTAACAAAGTCAATGTTTTAATGCCTAATTTGTGGCTTCTTATTGATAGTGAACAGAAAATACAAAGCTTACAATTTTTTTCCATTTCATTCCTGGTAATATTTGATGATTAGTACAATTCACTAGAAGTGAACTGATGTATGTAGCTACTGCATCAGAACACGTTATTTCTGGGGTTTTGTGGCAATTTTATATATTGCATGCTGGTGTAAAGTGTCTTGTGCTGTTTGCGTATTTTCCCCATTGACCCAAATATCAGTGATGAGTTCATTTAATATCCTACGGATGTGCGTTGGTTCTAACTTGTGGTAAGTGGTGTAATAATAATTTCACTGAAACCTGGTTTGATCAGAGTATAAGAAAGATAATACAGTGTCCCTAATGTTTTCAGCTGCCATTTTGCTGTCTCTGTAGACATACGCGGACACCTGTGTATTCACATGCTAACATATGCACACATAGGCATTTTATACCCCATCACCCCCAGAAAGGAGAGCATTTGTTTCAATCACCTTAGGCCCATTGAAAATTTCATAGTATTTTATAGTGGCAAGACACTCAAGAAAAAGTTTTCAAACCATTAGCTTCTTAGCCACCCAAAAGTAATAAATTATGAACCATGGTCTTCAGTCCCACCTCTGTGGCTCCTCCCTTTTCCTTAAAGCAAATCAAAGAGCAGAGGATTCAGAAAAGCAAGCATGTGGTAGCAGAATCCTCCCTCCCCATTTTGCTACTTCTCCCTGAAACTTTTAAGGTGGTTTTTTAGTAAGGCAGGTTTTAGTATATCTAAGTGCTTTTGCTCAGTGACTTTTTTTTTAATATTATTTCAGCTTTGTTTTCCTTATAAATGGATTTTTTTTTCAATATAAATTCTAGAAGCCTGCAGTGTTAGATCACATTATCAAATGAAGCAACCAAGACAAATATTTACTGGCTCAGCCGACAATAGGAAAAAAAAAATTTTTTTTTTAAATTTCTCAGTCTCCTAATCAAACCCAAAGACCACTTTGTAGTCCTTCTTTTAAAAAGAAATACTTTATAATAATCAGCACACAAAATCCCTTCTGGTATATTTTAAAAAACTCCTGAGATGACGAATTTATTTAGCATTTAGGGTATATTAATGCCGAATCACATTCTATTTTAAATTAATGCAAAGCTTGGGTAATTTAAATTCATCCACTCCACTAAAATTTGCACAACTCCCCAGTATGCCGTCCTTAGTGGTGAAGACACTCTCAAGAAGCCCAGAGTTAATATGATGAGTGGGCCATGTTGAAAAACATACAAGGGGCTGGCAAGTCTGCTTCTGTTTGGGACATCTTACTCTGACCCTTTCCTAGCAAACAAGTAGCATCTTCAGTATTAAAAAAAAAAAAAAAAATGTTGCATATATTCTGTTTTTTCTCTTCTTAAAAATTCTGCATGTGGAAGTCAGGAATGGTGATTTTGGAGACCCATTAAGTGCAAGGATTCTGGAGTTGAAAAAGATGGCTTGGGGATTGTTTCTTGGTTTTCTTTTTCTCCGGTTCAACTTCATCTGCCCCATTACCTGTGGCGGGTTAAAGGGAAATCGTGAGAAGCCAGGTCTGATTTGTAGGCTCCCAGCCTTCACAGTGCACACAGTGCTGGTACATTTGCCACTTCAAGTTAGGTAAGTGGGAACAGGGTTCCATATATTGCATTTACGGATAGTTCTGTCTGATAAACATCACCCTGAACAGCTATCGGGAAAACATGAAAGTTGGTTTCCTTTCAGCTGTGAGCTTTCGGTGGACAGAAAGAAATGGAACCAGACATAAAAGATTAATGCATATTTGGGGGGAAAAATATTGCAGGGTGCCTTGCTGTTTGATTACAAGCCTTGGAATTAGTCAACATTTCCATAATTCTAAACCAATATACACCTGTTTTCTCACTGTGATGTGAAGGCACAACTTAATTTAACAGACCCCCTGCTGTGCTAAATCTCTCATTAACTACCAAGTGAGTTCGGTAATTTAAAGTTGTAGCACTACTATTTTAACTGGTTGCCTTCAGATTATGAAATTAATAAGAAATTAATGATGCACTTTGCCATATGCCTTCAATTTCTTTCTGAATAAAAATAAAAGGGATAAAGAAAAACACATCAGCAGCTGACACTTTAAAGCTTTTCTGTTTATCATTTTTCCTGCGGATAAAATCCATTAAAAAGGCACTTGCTGCTTTTTTTATTTTTCCTAAAGTGTCCAAAACTTTCCATTTAAAACAAGATCAAATAGCGCTGGGTTGCCCGCCCCCCCCCCCCCCCGTTTAATTTTCTTTTGCAGCTGATGTTTTGTATCATAGAGAACTTTTATCGTGCTTCCAAACTTGATTGACGTTTAGGGACCCGTCTTTTGGTCTTGAGAGAAACAAAGAACTCAGTATGGCAGAGGAAAAAAATGCTGATGGGATATCTTATTCAGGCACCCTTCCTTCATGCCATGTGTGGGTCGTAGAGACCCTTTCCATAGTGGACGGGGGGATAGGGCGAAAGATCAGTGCAGAGTGAAAGTGCACATTTTTCACGCCATGTGACTGAGGAAGACACTGGGTCTTTCATCCTCTGAAATGCTCACCAGAAATCCTAGAAATACACTATTGGAAACAAAGGGCGCCAATTCAACAGCTCAGCACAGGGAGGAGCAAAGAATGAGCATCTGGGGGTCCTTTCCCTGGGTTGACCCCGCCGTCCTCTGGAAAGAGAGGCCTGATGCTTGAGCAGCAGATCACATCTCAGGCACAATGCCTCATTTACTCCTGACATCCCGTTAGGTTAACAAAACACTAAGGAGTCTCGAGTGCCTACTGTGTGCCAGGCACTAAGCTAGAGCAGTTCGTGCGTGCGCATGCCTGCCCTTCAGCTGCATAGTGAGTGAGACTCCCATCACCCGGAAGAGAAGACCTCTGGTATGTCAGGCAGGACCACGTGACGAGCCCTTGGGCTGGCTGCAAACCTGACCTTTGCCGAAGCCGAGTCACTCGTGTTCCTGGACAGATTTTGGTTGCCTCCGCCTGTTGACAGGATGGCAAGTCGGGCTCAGAGGTGGCTTCTTTTGTTCAGGAAGGCACAGCCTACCTGGTAGAAGAAGTCAGTAGAAAATGTCATCGTCCACCGTTGTATCTCCCAGAGAGAAATCTTTGTGAAGGCGACCTGCGAGATTCATTTTGTTCTCACCGACTTGATTTAGCTTAATTAAAAAATAAAATAAAGACCTTAATTGAGGCGCAGGAAAGCCCCCACGATCTTTTCAATAGTCAGACGTCCAGGGCCCCAGAGCCCCGTGCCCATGCCTGCACTGTGCCTTAGGTCATTCTTCTTTCAAGGTCTTCACACATACTGTCTCTAGCAATAAGGCTTTCTGATTGAAAATCTACAGCAGTATCATTAGAGCATTCACTGTATAAATTAATTTAATTAAGGAGGTAATAACAGAGAGGAATACAGTTTTGAAAAAGCTCTTAAATTTTAACAGCAAGGAGGAATCAGAATCTAAATGTCTTGTAAAATATTAATTGCAAATTTCTTCCAGACATTTTCTCGGCCTATGCCTTACTCCTTCCTTTCTTTCTAGAATCACGACCAGTTTTATTAAGTGCAGTTTATATTAAGGAGTTACTGCCCTGAGAGAACATTTGTTTAGAGCACTCCATTTTAGTGGTGGCTTACTGAAAGGTGTTTTATAATAACACATGCAATGTGAGCAAGGACTGCACGTAGATTGGAGATATAAAAACAAATGAGCCTCATCCAGTAGGAAGAAGCTGTAAATAAAACTGCCTCTTGGGACAAGTGTGTTCACCCACATGAAGTGAATGAGCCCCTCTTGGCTTGCCCTTGAAGAGATCATTTACCGACGCGGGTAGGCACTCTCTTTCCTCCCAGGTGGCTTTCCATGCAACTCTCCATAGAATTGTACCCCTGTGTCCTTTAAGAGTGGAATGCTGGGGGTTTAATATTCTCTCAACAGAACAGCTAGGCTCTCACTGGGACCAAATTCAATTTGCCCATTGAATGCATTTTGAGGTGCTCATTTTCTTTGAACCACCTCTTCTAATTATTAATAAGTATTTAAGCCTTTGTTCTCAGAGCCTTGATGATTATTTTTATCATTCATCATTATTATTTCTGTCATAAAATCCCTCAAACCCCATCTCATCATATCATGGATATTCCCCGCCCCCTGCCCCAAAACCATCTCACTTAAATCTAAGCCTAACTAGGCCGGGCTAGATAAAGTTTCTTCTCTGATGCCATTTACTTAAAACAGGAAGAAACGACCAAAACATCTGCACGAGCAGGATTCAGTCCTCAAAATCGTGTATCATGTAGAACACACAGAACATTCATGCACTCATTCGACAAGTCTTCATCGAATTTTTATTGTTTGCCCAGAACTGCTCCGGTAACTAGAGAATACAGTAGGAGCCACGCTATTTATAACTGAATCACCCCAAAACAAAGCAAGCCCACCATGCCTGTACATGCTTAATGCTTAATAAACA